CTTATGGTCGGGGGAAGCTTGGTGCAAGAATATGGTGCACGGATGAAGTTCATTGGGGCTTGTGCGTTACTGCTTCACGGGGTCGAGCTCAGGAATGTGGACACCTGCTGGAAGCTGTTGTTGGAGAGCACCACAACGCTTCTAAGCGAAGATGAAGATAAGCTTTTGGACTTCTTGTCATCGGAGTGCAACCTGTCCAATCCCTTGCTTCAATCTATGCGGGCTGCAAGGAAGAACAAGAATGCAGATTCTGCCAACCCCCTGCTAGCTATGCGCGCTGCAAGCAAGAACGCTGATGCTGTCATAAGCTGAACATTAACAAAAGCTTCAATCACAATTAGATCGATCCTAGTCTTTTTTTAAAGTCTTCAAGGATTTCTTCAGTTAATATTTAAAGCCAAGTCATGGCAAAGATCACATTCTGCAAGGTGGCCAAGGAGGCTCACCTTCTTCCAATGAGGCAGGCAATGTCCATTTGGAGAGATAGTGAAGTTCGTGGTCTCTTTCTTATTCATGGTTTATTAAGGAAGCTATTCTCCCAAGCTTTCTTTGGATCGGAGCTACCTTATTCTAGCCGTGGGGTGGCTATCAATCGCAACTTGTTTGCCATGAGCAACGTCATGCTCTTTGTTCGTGTCAAGGTGACACAGAACAAGAAGAGTGGCAGATCCAGGCAGTCTTTACTATGAGGATTGGCTTGGGCAAATTGCACCACCACAGTCTAGTTTCACTCACCATATGAAGTTTGTATCCTTAATTTGCCCAAGCCAATCCCCATAGAGGAGACTGCCTTGTCGTTTTGGATCTGCCACTCTTCCTATTCTGTCACCAGTGGCTAGTTTTGCTTCTTTCCATCCACAATTCACGTACAATTGTTACAGAGAAAGATGAAGCAGATCTCCTTGACCCAGTTCTCAAAGTCTGTCTGGGTGAAAAGAAATAGGCAGTGCTTTACATGTGGTCATGTTGGATGGATTTCTCCACAACATGAAGTTTGCTCTTCCTCTTCTTCTGCTGCAGTCGAGCGGGCAATCTAGAGTTGCATAGCCTTACTGCTCGCTGTGTGGTCTTGTTGCCCATGAGATCGTTGTTTGCTATGATACCGGTTTCCCCTAACCACCACTCTATACAGAGAAAGGCCGTCTTGATATCAAGCTGATGAATTTCCAGATCCCAGCATGCTGCAAGGCGTAAAATAATCCTAATGGAAGACATCTTGGCCACAGGAGAGAATGTCTCGATGGCACGTCACAGCTTAAGTGGCATCCAATTTCGCTTGAAAATCCACTTTGTGCTGGCAATCTTCCTGCCTGGTGGGAGATGAACAAGCTCCCAGACTTCATTGCATTGCAAAGATGCATGGCCGCTTTCCATTTTTCCGCTTCTGGTGACTGGAGAGCTGCACGAACTGTGCATGGTTCAGGAGTGAGCTGCTCAGCAATTTGAGGCCGGAGCCTTGAGGCCATCATCAAATGGTGTAACCGCTTCTTCTGCATGACTGGACTTGGTAGTGCCTCTGCTGCAACCTGCTGCTGCGGCTGAACTCGCGGCTGCTGCCCGGATACCCTACAAACGTCCTCGTCATAAAGTGTTGCGTGTACTTTGCAAGCCGGGAGGAACGAAGCCCAGGAGATGGGAAGAATGTGAGCTCCTCGGCGTCCTCCAGCCTCGAGAACATCCACAATGCTGCTGTAGTAGTCGATCCTTGACGGGTGTCACGCTATGATCTGGACGCAAGACACTCGATAGAATCCCTCACTCCGCGCAAGTGCTTAGCACCGCCACGAACGATGCCTCGTTGGGTGTGCGGCCGCAACGCTAGCATCGCATCGATCCTCTCGGCGCCGCATATCGCGTTCAATCCCCCAAGAAAGCATGGATGATTCTTCCTCCTCCTCTGCCGCACTCCACAGCACGGTAGGATTCATGTGCCAGGCTCTCGGGCCGGCAGTAAGCTCTATCGGATGAGGCGGCAAGAAATCAGTGAGCGTCTTCGATGCACACACGAATCGATGGACCCGCCAACGCTGTGTCCTCGAGCGCCGCGGCTATGGATCCAGGGCACCCTGTCCTCGACCGGTCGGCTCACGTCGTTCGTGACAACTTTGAGGTGGGTGGCAGCTTAGAGGGGAACGGATTGGACGGTGAGGTAGGACCGATGGTATCCTCTCCCGCCATCGCCAGTGATGGAGACCATGGTCTTCCGCAACGCCCTCGTCGTGGATCGTAACAAGATGGTTGTGAGATGGTTCCAGAACGACGCTTGTTTTCTCAGCGAAAGATCATTCCTGGGAAGTGGCGGACACGACTGGATTGCCCGGACGCTGCTGCTTTGTGCACTCCAACCGGATCTACGAGGCCGACATGGCCAAATCGTTGTTGTGGAGACACGAACGTGTGGGAGGGGATCCAGCTGACGAACGATCACAAGATTTTATTCCACACTCTGAGCTAACATTTGGGCAGTTTCAGAGGATTGCAAGGTTATGACAGTGATTCAACTTCCCAGCGATGGCTTCTTGGAAAGTGGTGGAGGATTTCAAGCTCAGCATGCCTTTCAGGAACGATGCTCAGATCGAGGTTCTTCGAGCTTGATGTATATTATTTGGATCAGCCACTACTCTACAAGGGCGTGTTAAAGCGTCAACAACACAGTCGATCAGCATCTTCACTCATAGTCGCGTTCTCCCTCCAGGAATGCAAGAGGGAACAGAGTTCTCTGTGTGTGGGAGAGAGAGAGAGAGATGGAAGAGAATGCTGCCGTACTGCTTCTTCGCCTTGCAAACAATTTCCTTCCATTCATCTCTGGTGGAGTGTGACATCTTCAACGAAGCCAACGTTTTAGTTAAGGACTAATTCTTGGTCCATGTCTTCTTGGTTCTTTCCTTATGATGGATTGAATGTAGCATACCTTCATTTCTTTTGATAACGGCTTGACCACTACCCAATCAACCTGAATAATGATTTAGTCACCTTGAACCAGTGAAATTAACGTGTTCTCCATTGTCTCAGTAAAATGACCAAGTCAGATCTGGAGTACTCACAACTCCTATATAAACTCCAGCGACCTCCACACTTCTCCCCACTCCATTCTTTATCAATTCAGTAGCATCACAACAAAAAATCCGTGTGAAGATACAAGATGTCTTACAAGTTAGCCATTTGTCTAGTTGCCATTTGTGCCATTGCTTTCGTCCATGGATCAGATGAAGATGCCCTCCAGGATTTCTGTGTCCGCGACGGAAACAGCAACACCATCGTCAATGGATTCACTTGCAAGCCTGCAGCGGCAACTCTAGCCAGTGATTTCATGTTCCAGGGACTCAGGAACCCCGGGAACACCAACAACAAGCTCGGATCCATAGTCACCAATGCAAATGTTGGCGTATTCCCGGGAATCAACACTCTTGGAGTCTCTTTTGCGAGGGTTGATTATGCTCCATACGGTGTCAATCCCCCCCACGTCCACCCCCGAGGAACCGAGCTCCTCTTCCTCCAGCAGGGAACACTCTATGTTGGATTCGTGAGCACCACCAACAACACACTCTTCGCTCAAACTTTGCATCCAGGGGATCTCTTTGTGTTTCCGCGTGGTCTCATTCACTTCCAGCTCAACGTTGGGAAGACACCGGCTGTTGCTCTTGCAGGATTCAACTCCCAGAATCCGGGTGTCACCCAGGTAGCCAAAGCCGTGTTTGCATCCAATCCTCCCATTTATGACGCCGTTATTGAGAGGGCGTTCCAGATCAATCCCAAGCTCATCCAGCAGCTCAGGGACCTCATCAAGCAAACTTAATCAGCTTGTTCTCGCATTAATTCTTTCATAAATTTCAATAATAGTCAAAATTTGCCTGGCTTACCAAA